TGTGTATATGCTTGTGTGTGTATGGTGTGTATGTGTATATGTGTGTATATGTATATGTGCGTTATGGTGTGTATATATGTGTGTATATGTATATATGGGTATGTGTGTATGTGTATGTGTGTGTATATATGTAGGTGTGTATATTTGTGTATATATGGGGTGTGTGTACGTGTGTGTGTGTGTATACATGTAGGTGTGTATATCTGTATATATGGGGTATGTGTGTGTATGGTTTTTATATATGTGTATATATGTAGGTGTGTATAGGTGCATATATGGGATGTGTGTGTGTATATGGGGTGTGTGTGTATATGGGGTATGTGTGTGTGAATGGCGTGTATATGTGTATATATATGTAGGTGTGTATATGCACATATGGAGTATGTATATGTGTGTATATATGGTGTGTGTACATGTGTGTATGGTGTATATATACGTAGGTGTGTATATGTATATATATGGTGTGTGTGTATGACGTGTATATATGTGTGTATATATGTAGGTGTGTATGTGTGTGGATATGGGGTGTGTGTATGATGTGTATATGTTATATGTAGGTGTGTATACGTGTGTACATATGAGGTATGTGTGTGTATATGTGTGTATGATGTATATATATGTAGGTGTGTATATATGGGGGGGTGTGTGTGTGTGTGTGTGTGTGTGTGTATGTTCTTGTCCATGGTTCCTGGCTCATAATCCCATAACCCTTGGTACAATCTTAATGTTAGGGCACTTTCACCCTCAGAAGCAAGCCTCAGGAAGCAGAATTTCTGTCTCTCTCTCTCTCATCTTCTCTTGCCCTCCTTTCACCTGCCCAAAACAGGACTCTCACTCCAGAGAGGGTCCTGCCCTATACCTGTAGGAAAGAACGCTGCACTGAGAGGCCAAGAAGAATCTGAACAGATGGGCCTTGCGTTTCCCCCCTCAGTCTATTAGCGTTAGATCAACTCTATTTGTCCAATTACATTTCAACACATTCGTGCATGCTTCAGTCACAACGATCCAATGAAGTCTCCATAAATGGCCTGAGAAGACAGGGTGAGGAGAGCTTCTGGACAGCTGAACAAGAGGCGTCTGATAGGAAGGTACAAAATAACTCATCCACACCCCAATTCCACAGGAACAGAAGCTCCTGTGCTTGGGACTCTTCCAACCCTAGCCCTACATATCTCTTCATCTGGCTGTTCATTAGTATCCTTTAAAATATCCTTTGTAATAAACTGGTATATGTGTTTCCCTGAATTATGAGTCAATCAAATACATTAATAGAAGCCAAAGAGTATGTTATAAGAACCCCAACCTGCAGAGGGTTGGCAAGATGTCCCAGAGGCCTGGTCTTGTGGCTAGTGGGGGCAGAGTGGGACAGTCTTGCTCACAACCTGTGGAATCTGATGCCATATCCAGGTAGACGGTGTCAGAATTGAACTGCAAGACACCAGCTGAAGCCCACTACAGCTTGCTTCTCCCCACACATTTAGTCACAAAGCGTTTTTTTTTTTTTTTTGAGACAAAGTCTTGCTCTGTCACCCAGGCTGGAGTGTGGTGGCGTGATCTCAGCTCATCACAGGTTCACAGCCTCTCAGGTTCAAGCGATTCTCCTGCCTCAGCCTCCTGAGGAGCTGGGATTACAGGCATGCACCACCATACCCAGCTAATTTTTGTATTTTTAGTAGAGACAGGGTTACGCCATGTTGGCCAGGCTGGTTTTGAACTCCTGGCCTCAAGTGATCTACCCAGCTTGGCCTCCTAAAGTCCTAGGATTACAGGGGTGGGCGGTGGGATCTACCCAGCTCGGCCTCCTAAAGTCCTAGGGTTCCAGGGGTGGGCGGTGGGATCTACCCAGCTCGGCCTCCTAGTCCTAGGGTTCCAGGGGTGGGCGGTGGGATCTACCCAGCTTGGCCTCCTAAAGTCCTAGGGTTCCAGGGGTGGGCGGTGGGATCTACCCAGCTCGGCCTCCTAAAGTCCTAGGGTTCCAGGGGTGGGCGGTGGGCCACCGCGCCTGGCCAAGTCACAGAGTTTTCTGTGTTGATGATTGTTGTGGTGTGAGAGAAGAAAAATGAGTTGGTTTTATACACACTGACCCTGAGCACAATACTGTACCTAAATAGCCTCTGAAGATACCGGATAAACTAAGTATTTTATTCCTCCCCAGATTCCTATATTGAAATTCTGTACCCCAGTGTGATGGTATTAAGACATGAGGCCTTTGGAAAGTGATTAGGACACGAGGGAGGAGTGCTCAGGAATAGGATTAGTGCCTTATAAAAAGGATCCCAGAGAGCTCTTGGCTCCCTTTCACCATGTGTGGACATAGCACGAGGGGGGTCGCCTGCAACCTGCAAGAGGGCCTCACCAGAATCTGCTTGCACTGGCACCCTGGTATCAGACTTCCAGACTCCAGAACTGTGGGAAATAAATGCTTGTTGTGGCGGGACATGGTGGGTGATGCCTGTAATCCCAGCACTTTGGGAGGTGGAAATGGAAGGACTGCTTGAGCTCAGGAGTTTGATACTAGCCTGGGCAACATGGCAAGACCCTGTCTCTATAAAATATTTAAAAATTGGCTGGGTGTGGCGCCTCACGCCTATAATCCCAGCACTTTGGGAGGCCGAGGTAGGCAGATTGCTTGAGCTCAGGAGTTCACGACCAGCCTGGGCAACATGGTGAAACACCGTATCTACCAAAAAAAAAAAAAAAAAAAAAAAAGGCCAGACTTGGTGCCTCACACCTATAATCCCAGCTACTCAGAAGGCTGAGGTGGGAGGATTGCTTGAGCCCAGAAAACAGAGGCTGAAGTGAGCCGAGATCGTGCCACTGCACTCTAACCTGGATGACAAAGCGAGATCCCGCCTCAAAATAAAAATAAAAATATACAGCCACGTGCGGTGGCACACACCAGTAGCCCCAGCTACTTGGGAGGCTGAAGTGGGAAGACTGCTTGAGCCCAGGAGGCTGAGATTGCAGTGAGCTATGATCGCGCCACCGCACTCCAGCCTGGATGACAGAGTGAGACCTTGTCTCAAAACAAAACAAAACAAAACAAAAACAACAAAAAAGGCCCAACGCGGTGGCTCACACATGTAATCCAGGCACTTTGTGAGGCCAAGGTGGGAGGACAGCTTGTGCTCATGAGATCAAGACCAGCCTGGGCAACACAGTGAGACCCTGTCTCTTAAGAAAAAAAAAAAAAAGTTTGCCCTTTTAGTCATACAGTCTGTGGTACTTTGTTATAACAGACTGAATCAACTAAGAATTAAGAAGTGTGTGCAAAATAGACAAAAGACAGTTTAGTACAGAGATGTGCTTAATAAATGTGACCAGGCTCCTCTCTTCCTTCACTGAATAATCAGTTGTCATGTTGGATATTTCCAATGTCTAATTCAATGGGATTTCTAGGTAATTTTGACACATACTGTTGTTTATAACTATTAGCAGTGCTTAATATTATGCAGTATGCATTCTTCTTTCTTATGGCTATCTCTAAATTTATTTCTTTGTAGCTGCAGTGTATCCTACGAAATGAATGTGATATAATTACTTAATCATTTGAATCATCCCGAACAGTAATTGTGGTCAAGGTAACACAGTCCTTGATTCTGCAGCAGTGGTCTAAATGTCCTTGATTCTATAGCAATGGTCTAAATGTCTTTGGGACAGGTAAAAAGTCTAAATGTCTTTCATGGCCTCCTTAATGCCACAAAATTACAGAATATCTCCTCGGGGGGGAAAAAAGGACATTGATAAACATACACAGTAAGTGTATATACAATATTCCTTGGAAAATTATAAATGGAGTTAAAAATCAGCTAGACCTTGCAGGGCACAGTGGTTCATGCCTGTAATCTCAGCCCTTTGGGAGGCCCAGGTGAGAGGATCACCTGAGGTCAGGAGTTCGAGATAAGCCTGGCCCACATGGTGAAACCCTGTCTCTACTGAAAATACAAAAATTAGCTGGGTGTGGTGATGGGTGCCTGTAATCCCAGCTACTTGGGAGGCTGAGACAGGAGAATCGCTTGAACTCGGGTGGCAGAGGTTGCAATGAGCTGAGACTATGCCATTGTACTCCAGCTCAGCCTGGGCAAGAAGAGCAAAACGTCGTCTCAAAAAAAAAAAAA